TGAGTATATGTTATATACATGTATATAAGCATTGTATTTCCAGATGAAAAACATCCACTGTGTCAGCTTTTAGAGCTTACATTCATTTTATGACTGCTTTCCTTAATTTAAAGCAATGTAAACGAGGCTCTTGTAGTGTTACAGTAACACATAAACTGTGTGCAGGTACACTCTGACCTTCTGTCTTACTTCTGTTGACCAGAATCTTGCTTCAGCTCTGTGTGAGACTCTGCACAATTATCTGAGCTTGCAAAGGTGTATTTTGAGAGCCCTAGGCTTCAAGCTTAGCTCTGTACAAACAAATGTCTAAGCCTGTCTGGAGCCTCTCAATTTTAGAGCTCTGTCCAGGCCCATGGGCTATCATACACAAACCTGCTTGCAGAGATGAGATTTCGGTCTTCTTTTGAAACCAATTCCCCTCATTCAGAGTTCTCGCCTGGCCTGTATCTGTTTTCTTGGTTTTCCCCTTATATTGTTACATAGGAAAGGTTTTGCATAAAGGAAGTCATACAATAACATGAGGAACAGCATCTGCATTGTATCTTTGTAAGGCAGTTAAATTTATAACACATGGCTGAGCTGTAAATTACTTGCATAGATGGCTGTCTCTTTGCATGCTATCGATATTTATAAAAGGTCTCACAATCAACGAGCAGCTCTGCCCTGGAAGATTAAATATGTCTGCTGTTAATCATTAGCTTCGGAAGTACTGGGAGACCTATGAAGACCTGATCCCCAGCCTTCCAACCCATCATGCGGCGCACACGCTATACATGTATGTTTACATGTACGATTTCCGGGACAGAAATTCAGGAGCCCAAAACTTACTCCTGTCATGCAATGTTTTTGGATTGAGACTACGTCTATCCCTGCAAACAAATCAGAATCTTTGCATGGAGAATTATATCCATTGCACCTATTAGCAGGTATTAATGCTAATGGGAATTCCTATTAATTAAGTCATCTCATTAGAGATATTAATTACTACCATTCAGAAGCTATGTGACACACTTCAAAAATGATAGGTAGCCTTCCTTTCCATTGCATCATGGATTTGTTTTGTTATTACCATATAATATTGGTAGGTAGCTTGTGGGTATTGACAGCATAATAAAAGTACACCCTTTTTTTTGACCTGTCATTTGCAGCCTGTACAGAGAGATTATAAATCATCTGTAAAACATTCTCAGAGTGGAGCTTTCCCCTGTTCTGCACTCACTGTAGAGGAAATAGCAGAGTCAGCCCGAGCTGGAGAGTCACCGACAGTTGTGGCATTACTTGCAGTATTTCACACCATTCACTCTTGTTGACCAGCTGCCCAAAGCACTAAAAGCTTTCATATTCTGAGTATATATAAACTCAATTAAAATATACATACTTATAGCCTTTTCTATTTGTTCCAGCAGGGCTGAAATAATGTTTTCACTGTAAACCCAGGGTAGCTGCTAAAGAAATGGTTTCATGTTAAAAGTAATGTTTTGAGGCATTGTTACAGCTTGAGATGTGTGATTAATCGCCCTCAGTTCCCGCGATCTGTTTGCAATGCTCTGTGCTTTAAAAACTTCGCTGTATGAAGGCAGTCGTTGAGCTCCTGGTTTCTGAGCTTTAACTGAGAACTTCTGATTCCTGAGCTGCCGGAGTAGAGAGGAGTTATGTGGTTAGCACGAGAATGAACCTCATCCTTGCCCTTACAACATTTCCTAGTTTTCTGTTTCAAAGGAAAGTGTCGGTCTGTGCCGTTGCCCCGGGGAACGGACAAAAGCTTCAAGGGGAAACGGAGTGTTGGACTCGGTGAAGGAAAACAGCAGCTAGAGTAAGTTGTCTGCAGTATATTCATTTCATATAGTTTAATATGACAAGTTAATGCTTTGGGAAAAAAAACAGGTAACTTTTAGCCACTGTACAGAGGGCACTTAAGTTAAAAAATTGTAGACACAAAAGACATTGTGAGTTATAGAGTGAAGTATTCAGTGCACAGTGGGAGTCCGATGAGAATGTTTCGTGTATGCTGATAGTCTCGCTGTCTTTGTGGATTGAGTGTAATGAATGTACACATTGCCACACTATTAGGCTATCTCAAAGCAGGTGATCAGTTTTAATTTAACAGTAGAAATCCGCTGAGTAGAGGTAGTGCAATACTGCTCTGTATTTTTTTTTGTCTCATGGATGTTCTGGCATCTAGATGGTGTGTGATGCGGCCGATTATTCCTTTGCTCTGAGAGACTGGAAGCTTTGTGAAGCTTCCAAAGAATTTTACAAATACAAATACAATCATTAATTAAAGAAAATCACTGGGTCAGATTTTGTGATTTTTCTACTTTTTAATTAAAAAGAAGAGAGGTGAATATGGAAGGATTTTTCCCATAAGCAGACAAGGTGGAACTTCAGTAAGGGCAGAAAACACGTTCTGCCTTTAACTCGCCCATGCCCTGCCTGTATCCCTGACACACACGACAGGACTTACTGTGTCAGTCTGATGTCTACTGTCAGTAAAGCGTTCTGGGGTCAAAATGACATTTACTGTTTGCAGCTATCTGCTTAAGCAGCCCTACTTGCTGCTTGAAAGGGTACTACAGGGTGGGTATCAAAATCATGTGTAGAAGTGGTATCTTTGTGTTTAAAGTACTTCTGCCTTTTAAAGGTACAGTCTGGGAGGAAAAAAACTAGAGAAGATTAATTCCCTTTTCACTGTCTCCCTGCTCGTTTCCTGGTTTTGCACATTTCTGGAATCTAAGTATTTAGGGATAATTGTGAACTGGCAACTTCATGCGCCTGTTGAAGTGGGATTGAAAACATATCCCATACAGTTCAGTGCTGGGCTCTGAAACGTTTCCCCTGTCCTTCAGGTGAACCTTTCTTGGCACTTCCAGTTACTCCTTTCCACCCAGGGCTGTCACCACTAGGTGACTCTCCAGCAGCCTGACCAGATGCCTGTTCAGGACAGTGAAAGTCCTTCCATTACGTTCATTGGTATTTAGGTCCTGGTCAGAAAGAAACACTGCACCAACACACTCTTTGGTCTTCCTTGTTGTGGCACATCCTCTTTGCCCATACACATCTTTAGTTTTATTGGTCACATACTCAAATATATCTTCTGAAGGCAACTTAATGCGTTAATGGGCATTATAAAATCAATACATAATAACAAAAATGACAGCAGCAATAATAATAATAATGAAAAGGATGAAGACTTAGACAGAAAACTAGTAGTTGGGGGGAAGAGAAAATTAAATCTGAGTGGTTGATTAGCAGCGACCTAGCATTATTACCAACACGACATTTTGTTCAAAATAGAGGCGGCCTTGATTTTTCAGAGAATTACTGCAGAAATGCTTAATTTTACAAATACAAAAGCCAAAGAAAAAATAAGTGTGTTTTCAGCTAGATCTTTTTACACTGTCTTGTAGTGTGTGCAACCAAAACATGGGAGTCAGTTTTCCTCTCTGATTCACCTACTTGTGCATAATGTTTTACATGTGGTAATGAAGCTGACTTGGTTTATTGACATTAGCCAAACAGAAAACAGTAAGAAAGAAAAATAAACAAAAGATTGCTTTAATGTGAGCAAAAATGTACCAGCTACTAAGAGTAAAGACTGCCTTAGAAAATAGACCTATTGTGTGTCTGACGTGCCAGGAAAGAGTTATCTTGGCTCTGCGGATCGTTAGTTTTCTTCCTGGTAGGATTAACCTGCCACAGGAGCTTCTCTGGCACCTTGGAAACCAGAAAGTTGTTGTTATTGCTATTATATGTTTATATGCAATGGTGGACAATATTTTTTTCAAATTACTTCAGCTGTGTTAGTCTTCGCTCTTGTCAGTAATACTTCTTTTCCCCTTTTTTTTCAAATAAGATGACAACTTGAAAGTATGTCCTTAAATTATTTTTATAAAATTAAAAGGAACTATAAGTAAGAAAATATTCTTGCATATGCATTTTAGAGCTACCTGTGGCTGTGGTAACAGCCAGGGTTTTCTAGAAAATTAACTAGCCATAGAAATGATAGAGATGCGCAGTTCAGCAGTGCAGCATGATGTATAAAGCAGTGGGCAGGTGGTAAATTGAAGCAAAAAATTTTAGGAAAGAACTGGTTCTTCAGGCACTATTTTTTAACATCTCTAGGCTTTTCTCACTGACAAAGTGAGGAATATAAACACAGTAAAGACATAAGCTTGCTTTAGGTAACTGTTTTTGCAAATTTTCTGCCCTGCTGTAGTTTTTATCTAATGCTTTTGGCACTGTTTTTACCTGCCATCCTTTCAGCCTTGTCTTCTCAGACACTGAGAGCTTTGATCCAATGAGCAAATACTGGTCTGCTTATCCTTCGCACGGTGCAGTTCCTCGTGTTTGGTGGTTGCTGTGTATCTGTTCTCTCGTGAGAGGTGTGGTAAGAGTCCTTTAGGGCCAAATTCTGCTTCTGCTGAAATCAATAGGAATCATAATTTCTGCTTTGGCAAAAGTGGGATTTAGTCCTCTGTCCCCTGCAAGCAGCAGAGATGTCCCCAGATGTCCTATTTGGCAACCCGGTTTCTACTGCCTTACACATCTGTCTTCTGCTTTATGTTCAGGATGAAGACGGTAGAGAAAATACCTTGCCTCTTACAGTAGCAATTAAAGCTCCTTATTATCCTAACAGGAAGTGGCAGGGGGAGGCTGCAGCTCTTCTCACAATATTTATGATAACCCACATGAAAGTGTAGTACATACAAACATTTAGGTTAACTTTTCCCTGAAGATGTCTGTATAAGAAATACTGGGACATCCTCGTGCCAATAAGGAAGAGATGTTTTTAAAAACAGTGCAAAGGAATTGCTCCCAAGTGATTCATTAGTTTAGATGCTGTGTAGGATAATAGATGGGAAAAGGTAACGAGGTGCAGCCTGTGAGGTCATTTGGGATTGCTGCCTGCTCCGGTTTGGGGAGCAGTCTCCTGTAGGTTATCCTGGGAGCGGAGTTGCCTTTAATCCTGCAACAGCTTCCAGGTACTTTTCCCAGTCGCAATGGCGTTGCCTCCTCTCCAGAGGAAGTGGCTCCCCGTGTCCCAGGGGGCTAAAAAGGGAAACGAGGAGGAAGGATGGATGGAGCAGGCAGGGAAGCAGGATTAGTACATTTGGTTTAGAGGGCATTAGGTGTTTTGACGCTCCCACGGAGCAGTGTCTCAATACGTAATTTGCAATCCAAGTAACAATAGCGCTGCCTCAAAGGCAAGTTCATCGCAATACTGACTGCAGATACCATCTTCTGCTGTAATTGTTTCTTGAGACGGGCTTTCCTTCTAGTTCACAACTGTCCTTCGTTAGTATCATGAGGGGGCATGTAGACTTGACAGAGCAGGTATGTAGGG